GAGAGATCCTTTTCATGTTGGATGGTTGGTATTCTGAGGAGCAGTTCCTCACCAGCGGTTGTTTGACTGAAGGTAGTCCCCAGGGGCAGGTTCAGTTCCAGGTTTGAAGGGTGCCTGCGGGTCACAAGTTTAGAAATCCACCAGTTGTCAACAGACCAGTGAGTCTGGTCTTTTTGACGATTTTGAATTTTGTTCCACATTTTCTTCCGTTCTCTTTAGGGCCTTTTGTGGCCCTAGTCAGAGCAGTGGATATTATTATCTGGTATCTTTCTCATCACAACGGGTTCTTCTTCACTTCTCACAATTTGCAGATTCATATTTACTGACATCATTGAATGCCTGCTGCTTTCCTAGTAAACAAGAGCCCCGGACACACTGAGCTGTTACCCTCCAGGCCAACAGTTTGAGCTCAGCAGTGGCTCCAAGGGAGAAGATCATAAAGATGTAAATGCTCAGAAGCCCAAAGGAGCACTTTTCCTCTGTGCTCTAGGGTTGCTGGGAGTCAAATCAATTCAATGGCAGTGAGTCTCCCTTTTATGCTGTTCTGTCAGGGTACTTTATCGTCAGGGCCAGGCATATCATAAATGCTGGATCAAAGTTGTTCAATGAAAAAATCATAAATACCAGTTGGCACTCTTTGAGAGCTATTATGTCGCTTTCCTAGCTCTGAATAGATGTCAGTGAATTCTGTCTATAACTACCATGGGCCTCAAAGAAGAGTCTTAAGTGAATTTCAGAGTTCAAAATTGGGAAGTCTGAAACCCTATGTGGTGTTCTGAAAGCCAAGTTTTTAACCTTTGGAGAGAAAGGCCCAGAGGATGAGGAAAGGACTTGGATGGGAGACAGTGGCCAAAAGGGAGTGCTAGATTGGGTGAGCACTACAGAATGAGGTAGGCAAGCTGTGGCAGGTCAAATTCAGCCCACCGCCTGTTTTTGTAAAAGTTTTATTGGCATATAGTCATACTCATCCATGTACCACCTGTGACTCTTGTCACAGTGTAGTAACAGTTGAACAGTTACAACAGAGATTGTATGGCTCACAAAACTTAAAATACTTACTATTTTGCCCTTTACAGAAAAAATTTGTTTGACCTTGTAAAGAAAATTAAAATAACATTTAAATGAAAGACATATTTTCTATCTCGTGTACAGAGAAGTGCAGGGATAGGCAGTCCAGACCAGGTCCTTCTGGCTTACTTCAGGGTCAGGTGTGGCTTTTATTCCAATCAGAAGGGAAGATTTGAGGAGAGAAGGACAGGGACATATGTGTCAGCGGTTCACTCCTTTGCTAGAAGTTCCTTACAACACATCATTTTATATTTCATTAGCCTGTACTTAGTTTAATGGCCCTACCTCATTATAAGGGAGTCAAAAATGAAATCTTGGGCTTGGCACCATTGTCTTCTGGAATAGCTCAGTCAATTGACATAACATAATTAACAAAGATAATTAATGTCTATGTTAGTCTGGGTTGACTAGAGAAACAAATCCAAGGAGACTGGTGTATAAGAGAGAGTTTTATATATAAGAGCCATTGAATATTGAGAAAACAACCCAGCCCAGTCCAGATTAAGTCCATAAATCCAATATTAGCACATATGTCTGATACCAGTCATAATTGCCTCTTCAGACTCATGCAACACATGCAATGATGCTGAATGCAGGAAGATCAAAGGCCAGTGGGTGGGAAGTCTTGTGGATCCAGTGGCAGTGGAATCATCTCAGTGCTGGCAGGGGTCTCCATGTGGCTTCTCCATGTGGCTCCATGACTCTAACATAGCTCCATGTGTCTTCTCAACAGGAATATCTCGCGGGGAGTGAGTCTGTGTTCTGGCTACAGTGAGCTATGTATCTCCTTAGTGCCTCCAAATGAGGTCATCAAGCTGCGACCTGATTGACAGGCCAAATTCCACCACGTCAATCTTATGTCTCAAATTGACAACAGATTACCATATATACTGGTGTATAAGCTGAGTTTTTCAGCACATTTTTAATGCATTTTGAATTGTAAATTAGGTGCCTTGGCTGATATTTGGGTCTGCTTATACTTGAGTATATGCGGTATGTAACAACCACAATGTACATCCTAGTTAGTTGAGTAGCATCTGGAGTCCTAAAAGCTTGTGAGCAGCCATCTGAGGTACACCTGTTGGCCTCTACTCACCTGGAGCAAAAGAGAATGAAGAAAAGCAAAGACACAAAGAAAAACTAGTCCATAGGACTGCTAGTCCACAGAACACAGCCTCTTCTAACTTGAGAACAGGAAACTAGATAGTGCCCTGCTGCTATTAGTGTCATGTGTGACCAGAGACGGAATAGATGAGATGATAGGAGAGAAATGTAGAATAAAATTCAAATTCTATAAGAGACTAGACTTACTGGACTGCTGAACTAGAGGAACTGCTGGTTCCCTCTGAACCCGGGCCTGCAGCTACTCCCAGAGGTCACTTTTTAGCCAAATAATTGATTGGCTAGTCACATAAACAATAGCACTTGTGAGGAATGTGCTCCCTTAAACAGTCAGCTGTGAGACCAGACAGTTTAACACATATCCAAATACCTACCGTGAGCTCATACCACCCCTGGAGGACAGTGTAGAACTCACTAGGGTTTCTGAGGCTGGACATAGTTACCACACCAGACTGCCTCATTTCTGGATTTGAACCCCGAGCCCTCTGGTGCCACCAGGCACCACTGTACCACCAGGCATCCTATGTACCCAAAAGCAAAGTTGAAAAGGCCAAGGAGGGCAGGACAGCTAGATAAAACTGAAACAGTAAACAGAACCAAGAAGGCATATTGTGAAAAATACAACCACCATCATGGAGCAATTTTGTATAATTTATTCAATCAGAACCTAATTTGTAGTGTAAACCTTCACCTAAAACCATTTTTGTTTTTAAGGGGAAAAGAAAAAGTGATGTCTTAGCTGAGAACGTTGGCACTTGGAGTAGAAATGCTTTTATATGAATGATACACGAGGGGAAAAAGACATGTGGCGTTACCACTAGTCAGTTCCAGTGCAGTCACCCTACAGGTGAAAGGCAGTCACTGTGAGCCGTGTTACCTTCTCTGACAAACACCAATATCCTGACTAGTTTATGGGGTGGAATCTGGCTCCTCCCCAACTCCCTGGTGAGCTGTGGAGAAAGAATATTTGATGAGGTTTAGTTATTTCAGTACAAGGCCACCCACTAGATGGAGCCAGTGTCTGGCTTACATGTGAGACCACTTCTCAGTCTCTTCGATATTATTTCCTTGTATTGAGTATAGCTATTTTTCAGAAGTTAAAAATTCTTAAGAGAAGAAGTGTCTTATAAAATACTAGTTGATTCATGCTCCTAGAGTTTTCGGTTGTGTAAACCCTTTCCTTTTTAGCAGGCACTTTCAGGGAAAGAGATACACAATTTTTTGAGACCTCTACTCAGAGGGCACCCCCCAAAAAAAAAAAAAAATACTAGTTGATTCAAGAAAAAACAATTCTGGTGTGGGAAGGGATTTTTTGTGTGTGTGTGTGTGATCCAAGTGAGTTTTATAAAGGATAGGAGAAATTTCAGGTTGTATACAGACACCTTACGGGCACTTTACCCCCTGCACGTGGAGTCCTGAGGCCAGAGGAGGTCGCTGCACGGCCAGAGGAGCAGCTTGAGAAGCAGAAGGGCCGCAAGGCTCTGGATTCTGTCTTTTTTTAAAATTTATTTAATCATTTTATTAGGGGCTCATACAACTCATCACAATCCATACATACATCAATTGTGTAAAGCGCATTTGTACATTCATTGCCCTCATCATTCTCAAAACATTTCTCTCCACTTAAGCCCCCCGGCATTAGGTCCTCATTTTTCCCCTCCCTCCCCGCTCCCCCCTCCCTCATGAGCCCTTGATAATTTATAAATTGTTATTTTGTCATATCTTGCCCTGTCTGACGTCTCCCTTCACCCACTTTTCGGTTGTGGGAAGGGAATATGTTAACACTTACCTGGACTTTTGTCTTTTGTTGTGTTGTAGAATTTATACACCATTCACAGAAGACACGGAGACTGTGGGCCAAAGAGCCCTGCACTCAATCCTGAATGCCGCCATCATGATCAGCGTCATTGTGGTCATGACTATCCTCTTGGTGGTTCTGTACAAATACCGGTGCTACAAGGTGAGCGTGGAGTCCTGGTGGTGCTGTGGAATAGGTGTTGGGCTGCTTACTGCCAGCTTGGTTGTCCAAACTCACTCATCAGGAGAAAGATGAGGTTATTTGCTCCTGGAGAGATTTACAGTCTTGGCAACCCTATATTGGGTTGCTATGAGTTGGAATCAATTCAATGGCAGTGTGTTTGGTTTTGGTGTAAAGTGAGTCACACACAGAGCTTTAATTTCACCCTGGTGGCTTTATGACTTTTCCTATCACAGGTAACTTCTTTGGTGTAGTAAAGAAAAAGGTCTTATAGTCGAGAGGTAACTTCAAATTTAGTTTTCCCTCCTTTGTGAAATGGTTTGAAAAATATCAAAAGGCATAAATGAAAAACAAGAATGTTAGTATCTAACATTCTAATGTGATTTTAACGTTTTGATATACATTTAATGACATGCCAGGGAGGATACCTCTTAATCCCCGCATAAGTAATAGCTGTCAAAAAAAAAAAAAGAAAGAAAGAACTTGCTTTCCCCATAAAATGTGATATACCTAGAAAAATCCAGATTTTCATATTTGCATACAGAACAATAAATCCACCCTCAGATGCTGCTGTTGAAATTGGTGCCTGGCCATGTGGTCACTTCTAAACTGTGAGCCTTCGACTCTGTTGTGCCATCTCTCCTTCAGCTGCAGCAGTTGTTTGTTAGAGAATGGAGACGGAAGAGGCTGTCTAAGGAAGACACACACCCAGCCTCTCCGTTAGTGCTTTCTCTAGCTTAAGTGGCTCATATCTGAATTTCAGTCATTCAGCTACATGGCACATAGTTATTTCCACCCCAGAAAAAAAAATTGTTTTTTCCCACCCCAGAAAAATTATAAGTGATTATAAGGTATGGACCTTTAAGGTTATTCTCAAAGAATAGAAATTATATATGTTAACTTCCCAAATGCAAGGGTATGTCCTATTTTTTTGTTGTTGTTCTATTTTCTTGTATAATTTTGGTGTTTTAAAAAACAGTTAAAATGCCTAATCAATGCATGTCCTTTGTTAACATTTACTTGGACATAAGCTGTTTTCCATGTTTTATGTTCTTAGAAAATACTTCTAGCAGCTCTATAACATTGGACTCAATGGGTATATTGTAATCTACCTCTACTAATGTTGAACATTGAAGTCGTTTCCAGTGTTTCACTATTATTGAAACAAGGAATGGCTTTATGCATAGAGCGTTTAATTTTTTCACATCATTTCTGAGAGTAAAATCCCAGACATAGAATTTCTGGAGCACAGTATTGTTGTGTTTTCAGCTCTTGGCCTGTGGAGTTCTCAGTTTGTACTTGTCACCAAGAGTGAATGAGAAGCTCTGTTTTGCTCTGGCCCCCATCTTCACCAGCATTGTACTTAATTTCATAGGCAAAGCAAAATGTCTTCATTTACATTTAGATGACACTAAAAAGATTGAATAGATTTTAGTGTTCAAACTCTAATCATAGGGAGTTTAGCCTTGCCATTTGTTGAACCTTTGGTTGGGTAGAGGCGCTCATCTAAGTTAAGATAATCTGGAAACTAACTCTCATCATCATGTGGAGGACATTAAGACAAAAGGCAGGTCGTTAACACTCAGGAACTCCTAGTGCCAGTGATGTGAGCTCCTGCCAGGAGAGATTGCACTGCCTTCATTTAAAATGTGTGCATGTCTTAGTTGTTTTTCCCTGTCCTTCTCCTCACGCTATCTATTTTGTCTGCATAGAAGTTTTTATCTGCCAATCCTATTTCTCTGCTTTATTAGACTCTGTGACTTACCGAAATTATACACTATTATTGCCAGGTGCTGTTGAGGTAGCTCCGACCCAACCACCTTACTCACAACACAAGGAACACTACTCAGTCCCGTGCCACCCTCCTAACCGTTATGGTAGAACCATTGTTGCAGCCACAGGGCCAGTTCTTTGTGGTCTTCCTGTTTTTTGTCATGTGTTCAGTGGCTTATCCCTCAGGAGTGGACAAGCCTATCCCGCCCGCGGTACCTGACCGCAGTCCACTGGTACTCATCATGTGTTCAGTGGCTAATCCCTCAGAAGCGGACAGCATATTCTTTCTCCGTAGTCTGTTCTTCGTCTGGAAGTTCCTCTGAAACCCGTTGCACCTTGGATGACCCTGCTTGTTCCTGACACACTGGTGACCTAACTTCCCCGACCACAGCCCCGGCTCGCCGCCACAGTGTGGTAAACTGAGGCAGTGGGAAAATTGTACTCTGCTCTGTTCTTTTGTAGTTTGTTTTGTGGAGGTGGACTTTTACTTTCCTTTTTGTAATCTAGAACTCACTTCTAGATTTCCTGTTCTCTCCTAAATGCTTGTATACTTGGACATATGGAACTCCGGACTTGGGATTGCTACTGAGTCCTGTTTCCAGGGACCTTAGGAAATCATCTCATTTCCTTATGCTTCCATAAAAGAGGAAGTACGATCTCAGGCCTAGCTCCTTGTTTTTCTGATTGTAAACATGTGTGGGTTTTCCCAGTCAGCCGGTGACTGACATGTGGAGGACAAACTTACGAGCCAGAAAGATCTAGATTTACTTCCTGAATGGAATGCTTTCTGGCTTGTGACCTTAGCGAAGACATTTCTCTTTGCACATTAATGAGATAATCAAAGGAAAGATAATAGCTAAGTCTATTTTTAAAAATTAATTTATTTTAAAAAATTATTTTATTGGGGGCTCGTTCAAGGCATCACAGTCCATACATACATACATACATCCAAATGTGTCAAATACATTTGTACATTTGTTGCCCTCACCATTCTCAAAACATTTGCTTTCTACTTGAGCCCTTGGTATCAGCTCCTCATTTTGCTCCCTCCCTCCCCCATCCCTTATGAACCCTTGATAATTTATAAATTTTTATAATTTTGTCATATCTTATACTGTCCGATGTCTCCCTTCACCCACTTTTCTGTTGTCCGTTCCCCAGGGAGGAGATTATATATAGATCCTTGTAATCGGTTACTCCTTTCTACCCCATCTTCCCTGAATCCTCCCCGTATCGCCACTGTCACCACTGATCCTGAAGGAATCATCTGTCCTGGATTCCCTGTGTTTCCAGTTCCTGTCTGTACCAGTGTACATCCTCTGGTCTATCCGGATTTGTAAAGTAGAATTGGGATCATGATAGTGGGAGGGAGGAAGCATTAAAGAACTAGAGGAGAGGTGTATGTTTCATCATTGCTACACTGCACCCTGACTGGCTCATCAATTACCCAGGACCCTTCTGTAAGGGGATGACAGTTGCCTACAGATGGGCTTTGGGTCTCCGCTCGGCACTCCCCCTCATTCACAATGATACTTTTTTTTTTTTTCCTGATGATACCTCATCCCATTGACACCTCGTGATCACACAGGCTGGTGTGCTTCTTCCATGTGGGCTTTGTTGCTTCTGAGCTAGATGGCTGCTTGTTTACCTTCAAGCCTTTAAGACCCCAGACAATAGCTAAGTTTATTATAACTTTGTTATGAGGGTTACATGAAGTAGTATATTGTTATAGTGCACAACACATAGTAGGTCTTCTGCAAATGCCTTTCTCCCTTCTCCCAACAAAAGCCATTACTTGACCCAGCTACTTTGCCATCTCATTTTTCACCTCATAGCTATGTTTTAAATATATATACCTTGCATCAGTGCACCCCTATTTTTTTGTTGATAATCTGAACTTTGATCGTAATTGCTGACATGTTTTTAGTATTTGCTTTGCACCAAGTATTGTTGGAAGCACTTTGTAGGCCTTGTTTCATATAGCTGTCACACCAGCTCTCTGAGGTGGGCCCTCCTGGTTCCCAGCTTTATACATGCTGAAGTAGAACAGGAGGAACCAAGTGGCCGGAGGATATAGAGAGAAGTACAGCCATGTCTATTGGCTCCACTTGAAGCTCCTGCCTGGTATGAAAGGACGGAGAGAAAGGGGAAAGGAACCATGGGATTTCTGTTCTCCCTGTGAGCATCAGATCTAGAGAACCTTTAATGTTTACTCTGGGCTTCAAATTGTGTTGAGGCCAAGCAAGGAGGGTTGGTACTAGAGAAAAAAAACATGGTAAACTCACTGCAGGTGTGGTGGGACTGCCACCCCTGCCTTTCCCTGTCCCATGTACTCACCTTACTGCTCAGTGTCCTCACTCCAGGTTGCTGTCAGAGGGAGAGACAGATTGGAGTGTGCTTGCTCCCTCTTACTGGTAACTGAACGTGATGTGTTTCTGTCACTGTGTGCTCCTTTAGTTATGATAAAAGTCGAAAGGCACTTCAAGCCAGAGTTCCATATTGGTTGAGGGTATTTTTTATGTTTAGTTCTTAGCAAGCATAGCCATTCTTGACAGAGCTAGTTGTTTATTTTGACTCTTAGAAAATTAAAGGAGCTCTTGAGTCAGAAACTTGTTGGGACATGTTTGGAAAGAGGCACTGAGGATTTGCCATGTCAGTGGCTGGTTGTACAATGTCTATACAAAATAGAAGAAGTTAAATGACCTAATACCATTTTTTTTTGCCTATGCACATATATTTATAAAGCAATACACTGATGTTGTGGATGGACCTTGGACCTCAGCTCATGCCCTCCCTCAATACAAGAACACTTTTTCTAACAAACTGGTATTTTGTGAAGCTCACCCCACATAATCGCTGAAGACAAAATGGGTGCATAAGCAAATGTGGTGAAGAAAGCAGATGGTGCCAGGTTATTAAAAGATATAGCATCTGAGTTCTTAAAGGCTCTGAGCTGAAGAGGTGCAAGGTGTCTCAGGGTGAAAGCACCCCTGGGAGCGCTGGCTACAGGATGCCCAGGTTGCGGGCACTTCTCTGGCAGGATCGACTCCTACATACCATTTATTATATAGCTAGACGTGTAACTTCCTGGCTACATGATTTCTGGCCTGGGTAGTTCAGAGTTTAGAGATGTTCACTGTAGGCCTTGAAGTGGTGGTCCTTTATTTCCAGAGACTTTAACATAGGAGCTTCACAAGGGGAGAAAGTCCTGCTTTCTATTTACAAACAGGAAGGATGTTATCTAGTTAACATCAGAAGAGACTTTGAATTCACACAATAATTCAGAAATAATTCAGAAAACCATAAGATAAATGACCAATCCAAATAGGTTGCAGTGGGTAAATCTGCTACACAAGACCTCTGTAGAGTGTTCAAAAGCAAGGGTTCGCTTGACCCAAGTCATGCTATTTTCAATTCTCATCTACATGTGAAAGTTGGACATTGAATAAAGAAGACCAAAGAAGAATGAATGAGTTTGAATTGTGGTGTTGGAAAAAATATTGAAAGTACCATGGACTGCCAAAAGGACAAACATCCACCTTGGAAGAAGTACGGCCAGAGGCTAGGATTGGGAGACTTCACCTTACATACTTTGGCCATGTTGTCAGGGGAGACGAGTCCTAGAGAAGGACATCATGGTTGGGAAAGAAGAAGAGCAGTGAAAAAGAGGAAGACTCAGCGAGAGTCCTTGGCCCAGTGGCTTCCCCCACGGAGTCAAGCACAGCGGTGACTGAGGATGGTCCAGGACAAGGCTGGGTGGTCATTATGGGTCAGAACCACCTCAGTGGCACACAGCAACAGCCAATAGGGAAGATACTTACAACCATTATTACGGAAGGTTTACATTGAGAAGTTCAGTAGAAAATACAAGTGACGAATAAACATATCCATAGACAGAAAAATAAATGTGTTTGTACTATCTCACTAGTAATAAAAGTTACATATTAAGTTATACTTGACCTGTTGACTAGATAAAGATTAATTCAGCTGTTCTTGTGAAGTAACTTTAAGCTAGTATGTATATTGAACTGTTTAAGGAGAAGTAGTGAGAAAATTTAAGAAATCCTTTCTTTGAAAGAAAGGAGCACTCACTGATTTAAAAGAATGTGGGTGATCAAAACAGGGACATGGAGTATAACATAGAGTCTGATCATGAAACCTCTTGTTGAGGTTTCTGTTTTATATCATGAATAACTCAACACCAGAGTTTAATACAGGTGTGCTCTTGAGTCTAAAGCCTTTTTTTTTTTTTTAGGTTCTGTGATTTAAAAAGTATAACAATTAGACACTATTTTTGAAGTAAAAAAAATATATCACTTTTTAAGGTTTATGGAGTCTTAATTATATTGATACTCATTTTTTTCTCCCTCCCCCCCCCAGGTTATCCATGCCTGGCTAATTATTTCATCTCTACTGTTGCTATTCTTTTTCTCATTCATTTATTTGGGGTAAGTAGTGAACTATACGATCTGTTGTTTGGTTTTTTTAAATATTTAATGTCAGATTTTTATTACTAGAAAAGCATATCCACATGAAAATCATTATTACATATTTGAGACCAGGTGATAAAAATAATTAATTCTCAGCTCTGGGTATGCATTAGAATCACCTGGGAGGAAAACCAAACCCATTGCCACTATGTGCATTCTGACCCACAGCAACCCTATAGAACAGAGTAGAACTGTCCTGTACGATCTGTTTTTAGAGCGTAACTGTACAGCGGTCACTAAAGCATGTCCCGTGATTCATTATTCTGAAGTTATAATTGTTTCCAAATAAGAGTTCATACTTGGAAAAATTAATATAATAATCCTTGCTATAATAAATAACATTGAAAGAACTCAAGACTAGTTAATTTCAGTCTTCATATAGTAAGTGCTAATTATAGCTATGCATCAGGTTATAAAAATAGTTTGAGAATATTACAAATAGTCTGAAATGCTCACACATTTTGTACAAAACTTTAAACAGAGTAGTTTGGCATATCCGTTCAGATGATAAGTGCATATTTTCCGAACCCATTAATATATAATGATAATCATTTGTGCATTATTTGTAGTAACAAAAGAACAGAATCAAACTAAATGTCTACTCAGAAAAAAACAGGTTCATTTAAACAAATGAAGTAGCTCTGATAAACTGAGAGGGAAAGTTCTCCATGAACACTGTTAAGGCAGAAAAGCCTGGTTGGTGGTGGTGGTAGTGGTGGTGGAGGTGGTGGTTTGGTGCCACCGAATAGATTACAACTCCTGGACCCCATGTGATTGATAGAGTAGAACTACCCCCACGGGTTTTCTGGTTGCCATTTTTATAGGAGCAAATTGCCAGGCCTCTCCCTTGAAGCCTGTGGGTGGGTTAGCTTGCTAGATGGACACAGCATGTGTTTATGGAGAATGGTCAATACTGTATATGATAAAATAGAAACATGAGTTAATCAGTACTGTTTGGGAGCCATAGTTCTAAATATTGTTTTGGTCAATATTTTGCATTGATTTTAAAAAATCTTCATTAAATATTTTCAGGGAAGTATTTAAAACATACAATGTTGCCGTGGACTACATTACTGTTGCCCTCCTGATCTGGAATTTTGGTGTTGTGGGGATGATCGCCATACACTGGAAAGGTCCACTTCGACTCCAGCAGGCCTATCTCATTATGATCAGTGCCCTCATGGCCCTGGTCTTTATCAAGTACCTCCCTGAATGGACGGCATGGCTCATCTTGGCTGTGATTTCAGTATATGGTAAAATCCAAGGCTAACATTACTCATCTCAGAAGGCCCCCTCACTTTCATATCTCTCTCTCTCTCTCTCTCTCTCTCTCTCTCTCTCTCACACACACACACACACAAATTCTATCTATCTAAATCTCTCTCTATATATATATATTGCAAAATATCCATGTATTTTTGTACAGCTGTGATTAAGAATGCCATTTCTGGAGATATATTCTTCTATCACATATTGGCTACATGTCTGCTAATAAGCTACTCCATCTCTGTGTCTTAGTTTTTGTGAGGATTAAATAATACATGTAAACCTTTAGAGCTATTTTTATCATTAAATGTAATCTGTTACTTTTTAAATGTAATCTTGTGGAGTAAACAGCAGTTATTCTTACTTGATTGCTAGCAAAACCAAGGTTTATAGAAGTAAGTGATTTGCTCAAACAAGCTTCTATTCTATTTGATCAAGAATCTTAACCCCAATTCCAGTATTCTTTCAACTGCACTACCTCTACCATCAATCCTCTTATTTCGTGTACCCATAATTCAAATGATTATCTCTACAGAGCCTTGAGTTCCTTTAAAATAAGCGATTTTTATATCCAATAATTAGAATAGTGATTTTCAACTCCATTTTTTAAGACCTCAAGATATTTTGTTAATAAAGGTTCTAAAATTCTCAAAACAATTTATTTTAATTGCTCTAAAAAGAGTTTCAGGCAGCCATCTAAGATACAACTATTGGTCTGTACTCATCTGGAGCAAAAGAATGAAAGAAGCCAAAGACTGAGAGAAGAAATGAATGAACCCTGGCCTTTTGAGTCTGAGGCCAGAACCAGGTGGGCCCTGCCTACCACTGTTAACTGTGCTCATCAGGGACACAATAGAATGTCCCAGATGGAATGGGAGAGAAATGTCGAGTAAAATTCAAATTCCTTAAAAAGAGCCAGCCTTACTGGATTGATAGAGACTAGAGGAATCCCCAAGACTCTTACCCTCAGGATTCCCATTGAAGTAGGAACTGAAGCTACTCCTGGAGGCCACCTTTTAGCCAATTAATAGATTGGCTTATCAAATAAACCATATTATCTGTGAGAAATTGCTTCTGTTAACAATATTATTTGTGACCTACTGGACAACATTTACCCAAAGGGGGTTAGGAAGCTAAATCAATGGAAACAGAATGGAGATAATGTGTTCGAAGATCTGAATATTTGTGAAGTGCTTTTGTTTAACAGGAGAATTAGAGAAATACTAAAATGTTTTATGAAAAGAGATACTAGTTGGCTTGTTTCATGCAATTTACTATTCTCGTTTCAAGTGTTTCTGGAATACATATGCTTTTAAAGATTTTAGCAAAATACGACATCATTTTGAAAGGAGGGGCTTTTCTCTTTTACTTTTTGTTCTTTGTAATTTGAAATGTTCCACCAGTCTCATGCTATTAACTTCCTCACAGCGTAGTTTCTTTTTGCAGCTCATACGTGTATTGTATTTGGAAAATGGCTTGTTCCCGGTTCTGCTTGTTTTATTTTGACCACTGCTATAGAAGAGTTCTGTCTTGTCACTCCCGATGTGTGCCTCTTTGCTTCACACAGATGAGATTAGATCTGGAATTCAGAGCTAACACACTGTAGAATAAGTCAATAAAAATGAAATGACCATGGATCTTAAGTTACTGTGTTTTTAGCCACCCCAGCTCCACCCCCACCCACCCAATCCCCACACAAGAACTTACTTGTCATTTGTTTCATACTCAACCTCTTTGTGTCCAAGAAAAAAAGCATTAAACCTTGTTCCTTGGTAATTTCTCCTCAACCCTCCAATACCATGTACATGTGTAGCCCAGTATATTTTATTGGATGTCTTCTCTGCTTTCTCTGTCTAGATTTAGTGGCTGTGTTGTGTCCAAAAGGTCCACTTCGTATGCTGGTCGAAACAGCTCAGGAGAGAAATGAAACTCTCTTTCCAGCTCTTATTTACTCCTGTAAGTATTTCAGAGTGATGTTGAATTAGAATCTATAGAAATTAAAATCTTTAGAGCCTTAGAATTTATAGGAACTCAAGTATATCTAATTATGTCTGTTATCCCACTAATTTTTCCATCTGAAGTGCATAGCAGTGTTAATGAAACTCTTGTAGATCTCTTGGTTTCCTGCAAACTGCTGTCTTTCACTTGACATTGGTTCAAAAGAGTTTTCAATATGGGTGGAAAGGGAAAAAAAATGATGTTGAGATTGGGACCAGTATCTCCATTTAAAATTGTGTTAGTCAAGAGTTATTGAGCATTTGTGTGTTCTATCCATGTATATATGGTTTGTTTGCTTTTCAGGTTTATATATGTATATTTTTGCTGGTAACTCTTACCCTGGTTTATTGAAAGAGTTGTGCTATTCCTTCAGTTTGGGTGTGTCCTGCCTGTTTTGTTTCAGGGTCATACTCTTCCTAGTCATTCAGTAAATATTGAGCACCAACCTAATCTTCTGTGGATTAAGACACCTTACCCTGTTTTAGAGCTCACTTACTTATAATTTAGAGGGGCGTTAAAACAACTATCTAAGTAAGCACCATCTAAGGCCAAGTACTTTCAGTTTCTTAAGAGGCACAAAGTGCTAAGAGAATTCAAAAGAGGGAGGCATCCAGTCTGTCTGAGGACGCTGGGAAGACTTCATGGAATAGACAGCATGTTGATTGAACGGCTGATGGAAGGGAAGATGTCAACAAGCATAGGTGAAAGTGGGTTCCACAACAGGGCTTATTATACAGAATGACTCAGAGTGGAAGGGTTTCAACTCTGTTGGCTCTTTGAAAATACAATTCTTTTTTGCTTTTGGTGGGAGAAAATGAAAATTTTCTGCTCTCGTGAAGATGTACATTCTCAGAAACCCTAGAAGATGTACAGTTTTGGAAACCCACAGGGGCAGTTCTGTTATGTCCTGTGGCTGTGTTTGTATGTAAGTGCAGAATTGCCCCAATCGCAGTAGATTTAGTTTTATGGATTTGTAGGCTCCCTCCATTTAGGGTACACTTCTTCTTTGAGCTCACTCATTCTGCCCTCATATTCATTGACCAAGGTGTTCTTGTCTGGTAGTTTGGTATCTAAACATAGGGTTGATCATTTTATGAAGATGATTTCTTATCACCTAGGGTGGGATGTTAAAGTGCATTAGTTTTAAAATCCACATATTTTCCTATTGATCTAAGCTGATTCATTCAATTAATTGTGTTCTCCTGGTAAGTTTGTACATCAGGAGTTAGCAAATTATTGCCCAGAGCTAAATTGGGACCAACGCCTATTTTAGTACAGCCTGTGAGCTAAGGTTTTAAAGAGGAAAAATACAGGAGAGAGACCAGATGTGACCCATAAAGCCTAAAATGTTTACCATACTGGCCCTTCTCAGAAAAATCCTATTGATTCCTGATTCCTATAACGTTAAACATGGAAACAAAAGGGTTGGTAGCTATATTTTTCCATGCTTGCATAAAGAAAAAAAACCCCAAAACAAATACCTACCGCCTTCATGCCACAACGGCTATAGAAATCCATAAATTTTGCACATGTAGATTTTATCTGCCCTTTTCTTTCTCCTCTTTGGATTTGGATTTAGTTAAATAGCCACTAATTGTCTGGCTTATAGTGACTTTGATCTTGTTAGGTTATGGAACCGGTTGGACCTAAAACATTAGCGTGACTTAAAGTGGCTGTTGTAGAATGTTCAGCCTCTTGGAGGTTTCTTTCCTAAGTTACTCAAGGAGCCCTGGGTACAGTGTAACACTGATGAAACATACAACTTTTCTCTAGTTCTTTAATGCTACCCCCCCCACACACACACACTATTATGATCCCAATTCTACCTTACAAATCCAGCTAGACCAGAGCATGTACACGGTACAGATAGGAACTAGAAACACAGGCAATCCAGGACCCCTCAGGACCAGTGCTGAGAGTGGCGATACCGGGAGGGTGGGGTGGAAAGGGAGAACGGGAGGGTGGGGTGGAAAGGGAGAACGGATTACAAGGATCTACATATAACCCCACCCCTGGGGGACAGACAACAGAAAAGTGGATGAAGGTTGGATAGTGTAAGACATGACAAAATAATAATTCATAAATTACCAAGGGCTCATGAGGGAAGGGGGAGCGGGGAGGGAGGGGGAAAATGAGGAGCTGATACCAAGGGCTCAAGTAGAAAGGAAATGTTTTGAGAATGATGATGGCAACAGATGTACAGATGTGCTTGACACAATGGATGTATGGATGGATTGTGATAAAGAGTTGTACGAGCCCCCAATAAAATGATTTTTAAAAATAATAAAATAAACAAAAAAGGAGCCCTGGTTGTGCTGTTAGCATTGGGCTGCTAAGCTCAAGGCTGGGCTTCTCACCCACAAGCTGTTCCAAGGGGAAAGATGAGGCTCTGCTCTTGTAAAGATTTGCTGTCTTGGGAACCAGAAGGAGCAGTCTCCTCTGTCCGATAGAGTGCTATGAGTGAACACCAGCGTGATGGCGGTGGGTGGGTTTGTTTGCTTTGGGGCTGTATATATATGTCTTTTGTAAATGATTCAAGATGCCTATCAGAGTATTAGGAACATGGATATAATTATACTGGAGGGTTTAAAAACAAATTGGAGAATTCGATTACCCTTACCTATTTTCCAGGGAATGCTTTACGGCTCTTTCATGCATTCATAGTCCTAAAAAGCCAGAGATACATAGATGCCAGTATCTTCTGTAAAATTACTTACTATGATCAGGTTGGACTTGGGCTACTCTTGACATTTGGCTCCACAAGGCATAGTGGTTACCAGTTGGGCTGCTAACTGCAAGATCAGCAGTTCGAAACCATCAGCTATTCCTCAAGAGACAGATGGGGCTTTCTACTCCATAAAGAGTTACAGTCTCGCAAACTCACAGGGGCAGTTCTACCCTGTCCTTCAGTGATTGCTGTGAGTCAGCATCGACTCGATGGCAATGAACTTGGTTTGGTTTGACAGCCCTACAAGCATAGGGAGTGACTGAGAGGATGGCACAGCCCTGGGCAGTGTTTCCTTTTGTTGTCTGTGGAGTCGCTGTGGGTTGGAAGCAAGGTAGTGACACCTCACGCCAATAGTATAGCTCTCTACTACAGAACACATGTTCGTGAGCAGTTCCTGCTATTGTTGGGGTGGCTAAGGGATAAATTGCTCTGAGTGGGAATACCGGACCAAAGAGTAAATACACAAACCTACATTTTTGCTAGATGTTACCACATTCCTCTCTGAAAGGGTTGTATTATTTTTTCTTTTCTACTTGTATAAGAGAGAGTAGTACGATTTGAAAGCATTCACATTTGTTGACTAAAATGTGAGAGGCAAAGAAAGATAGGTGTGTACCTTTTGAGATAATACATATGAGAAGGCTTCAAACCGTTCATGGAAAATGGCATTAAAATATAATGGAATTGTCCATGAATGTTCTGAAGCCCCCTTGTACATGTGTTCTCGTGGGAGGGGCACGGAACAGGCCAGTTGGTGATCTAGTGCCTTCATGTGTCTTGCTTTCACTTTTCCCCCTTTCTTACTCCTTATAGATCACGAAGTCTAGCATATTTAAAATCCCAGAGTGAGACCCCATGTGAAGGAGATAGTCTGGGCATCTTGGGAACTAGAGTCATTCGCTAAGGCTTCTGTGAGTCCCAGCTCTGCCCTCACATATAAATCTAATAAGCGATTTTTTTTTAAATCAATTTATTGGGGCTCATACAATTCATCACAATACATAGATCAATTGTATAAAACACATCTATACATTTGTTGCCCTCATTATTCCCAAAATTCACTTGCCTCTTGGGTTCCCGGAATCAGCTCATTTTCCTTTTTTTTCACCTCCCCTTCCCTTCCTCCTCCCTTCTCCCCCATGCACCCTTAATAATTCATAAATTATTATTGTATCATATTACACTGTCCGGCGTCTCCCTTCACCCCCCCCCTGCTGCCCGTCCCCCAGACTAATAAGCGATTTTGATAAGCGAGTTCACAGAGCTTTACGAGATTCAGCCCTGTTGTTGTCTCATGGAGCCTTGCTAGCCTGAGCAGTGTTCCCTTCTGGTTACTTTTCAAAAACAGCGGATGACTATGGATGGTTCTGCTGTTATAGTAAATGTTACAGTAAAATTCCATTTCAGAGTTTTTTTCTTACTTTCCAGTATCCAGGAGCACCATTTTTGGCTTTTAACGTGAATTTACCTCCGGTTGTTAAAGATTCTTAACACATCATTGGGAAGATTAGTGATTTATGTAAAGAAATGATGGCCTGTTGCTACTTACTTGTTTTTAGCCCATGCTTCTAGTACTTACCTGGGTATTTTTGTCTTTCTCAACAGCAACAATGGTGTGGCTGGTGAATATGGCAGAGGGAGACCCAGAAGCCCAAAGGAGAGTATCTAAAAACTCAGATTATCAGGCACAAAGTAGGTGACTTTTGCTTGGCAATTTCCTGGTTGTTTCGGGTCATTGCCATCTTAATGACCTAAAAGTGGACTATTGAGCAATGATTTTAATTTTTTTCCCCATGGACTCCTCGGAGGATCTTTTGAGAGCGATCATAATACCAAGTAGATACACATAAATATTAAGGAGTACCTAGGATACTCAAAACTTAACAACAAAGTCCAGGCATCTACTTTAAACATTTTTGTCATTAATTACATAAAATCAGCTTGAAAAAGTTCATGTAGAAACAAACCAAAAGAACTATCAATAAACCTGTCAAACTGAGAGTAACTTAACTATAATGTTATTTGAGATGCAGTAATGTTTATACCTGAAAGGTTGGCGGTTCAGACCTACGTAGTGGCTTTCCAGGAGAAAGACCTGACATTCTCCCCTAAAGATTACAGATAGAAACTTCTGTAGCCTTTTCTTCTTCATCACTTGGGGTCGATAGGTGTCAAAATCACCGAACAACAGTTTCATTTATGCTAAGAAGATCATTAAGTCGATGTGCTTTTCCTGAAGGAGGATTATAATGATTCAGAACTGAAGTTTGAGTAGCATTTTTTATAGACTGCACAGAAGATGTTAAGGAGAACCGAAGTTAGGAGTTATTATTAGAGAGTATGGGACAGTAGCACAATATAGAAAGTAAAGAATAGAAACTTAAGAAGAAGGAAAGAAAAATGGCGAACTTTATGAGATAGCTGAACAGCAGAACAAGGACTGGGTAAGAAGAGAAAGAGTAAGCCCTACGAGGAGCGATTGTCAAGGAAAGAAGAGTCTCGCTCTCATGGAGCCACATTAGCATCTGAGAAATTGCAGAGAGGCAGTTTCAGTTGGACCATGGCTGGGGCCCCAAGATAATCAAAAGAAGCAGGAAATGAATTGGAAAAACAATGCCAAAGGTGTGGTCATTTTGTTAATGTGTTCAACAGCAGGTTCACCTTCACGAGCCCTCGTGACAGTGTTGGGTAAGCATTGCGCTGTTAACTGCAAGGTCAGTGGTTCAAACTCCCCACTGGTCCAAGGGAGAAAGGTGAGGCTATCTGCTCCCTGGAAGATTTACAACCTAAGAAGTCCTAGAGAGGGTCACTCTAGGTCAGCGCTTCTCAACCTGTGGGTTGCGACCCCTTTGGGGGCTGAAGGACCCTTTCACAGGGGTCACCCGATTAATAGCAGTAACAAAATTACAGTTATGAAGTAGCAATGAAAATAATTTTATGGTTGGGGGTCAGCACAACATGAGGAACTGTATTAAAGGGTCGCAGCATTAGGAAGGTTGAGAACCACTTTTCTAGGTAAACCACTCTATGGCAATGTAGTTGGGATGGGTTGTTAACCTGGAGAGAATTAAATGGTTATTTGACTATGGTGTATGAGGGAGTTTTGAAAGGTACACGGCAAAATTCCATTATCTTTTAATGGTAATGTGTGTACGATGTGGGAATGACTCTATATTTGGTCCATCAAGATTGTATTCATTGGACAAATGTTAGTTGAAGACCTCTGTGCCGGCTGAGCCTGAGGATGTCACAGCAGGCCTGGTGGTGCTGTGGTGAAGCGCTGGCTGGGAATCCCAAGGCTGGCAGTTTGCACGCAACGCTCACTCTTCAGGAGAAAGACGTGGCATCTGCTTCTAGAAAGATTCAGCCTTGGAAACCCTGTGGGCAGTTCTACTCTGCATCAGAATTAATGGACCTGGATTTGGGTGTCCGGGCTGTGGACATAGCACCGAACCAGATAGCCTCTTCTCGGAGCTTATAGCCAATTTTGGAAGATGGATATTTAACAGCTCATACCATTGTTATCAAGGCTATCGAGAAGTAGGAATTGCAATGTGAGTTTTCACTAGAAGATGTCCTTCATCCAGGAGTGTCTTACAGGACGTTTCCCTGAGGTAGTGACTGGAGGAATTGGCCGGGAAGAGCAGGAAAGCTGAAGCCGAGAGGCAAGAACCTGAAGGGAGAAGGAGTGGGGTGCGCTGCAGTGTTCCTGCGTGGGATTGCTGCTGGGATTTTGAGTGGGACGGTTCATTCTTCAGTGCTCACTAGGGGATTCCCCTGCACAGCGTAGGAGAGTTGGCATCCCTCTCCCAGTGCCCTGCGGCCTCACAGTTACCCCAAACCCCCTCATCCTGTGCATTTCCAAGCATCCGAGCTAGATGAGAAAACAGAGCCTAGTGCTCTAAGATGTCAAAAATTGTAGCACCGAGAGGTCACATGATGTGCTTGAACTCCGAACTCTCTGTCAGAGAGGAGGGTAAATTAGTCATTGGTAAGACAAGAAAATTTGGGCAATGGAAAATTATGGCAAAACAAAACAAAAAGATCTGATTATTGCACATTCTAGCCGAAACAGAATAGTTGAGTTGCAAGTGCTATTGGCCAGGTGATGATAATGGGAAAACGGAGCTTGAGCTTTAGTTGAGGAAGTGGCCTGGGCACCAAATCTGTCCTCCTCTGAGTACACAAGGGCCAAGGGGGATCCAGCTCCACACCAGCCCAGAGCCAATTGCCACAAGGCAGAGGCCAGGCAGGCCTCCACTCTCCAATTTCCTTCACCCTATTCTGACACCTGCTGTCCCTCCCACCACATGCTACTTCACTTCGGGTCAGCAATCCATGGCGCTGGCCACACACAACTCCCAGACAATGCTCAACGATTGGGAGTGGGTGGGGGTGGGTGGGCAGTGGTGCTGGGGAAATCAACAAATTACCACAAGTCAGGATCACAAAATATGAAGGATATAGTCCTTTAGTCTGCAAGCAGCAGCCCTCAGCCATGTTGGTGAGTTCAAACTGCCTACCTTTCAAGTAGCAACTCCTGAGCCACCAGAGCTCCACACAAACAAGTGGATCATAAACCAGGTCAACTACCATAAAAAAGTTCACTTTCCCCTTACTCATCCCTTCCACCATGAATCTGCTTTTCAAACGTAGTCTCAGAACTAGGAAACCCACAGCTGCAAAGAACAAAACTCTGCGGCTGTTTCAAAGGCCTAGGTTCTTTCCATCTCCCTGTTCTGGCATCCGTTGCTTGCAGAGTGACAACTGTACATCCAGTCATCAGATCCAGAGAGGCCAACCTTCAGGGGACGGAGGACCTGTTTATTTCTTCCCTTAATCCAGCGGCTCTCAACCTGTGGGTTGTGACCCCTTTTGGGGTCAAATGATCCTTTCACAGGGGTCGCCTGATTCATAACAGTAGTAAAATGACAGTGATGAAGTAGTAACGAAAATAATTTTATGGTTGGGTCACCACCACATGAACTGTATGAAAGGGTTGCAGCATTAGGAAGGTTGAGAACCACTGCTTTAATCTCACAGAGTGATCCATTTCTCCCCGAATTCCCCGTAGACTTTTTCTCATCATTAATTGGTTACTACGACCAATAGTCCTGGATCTAAGATATACTAAGCTCAGAAGTATTGTAATACCCTGCTAGAAGGATCGAAACCTGTAAAAACCAGCTAACTTGAAAGAGGAGAGTGGGCACTGCTTCCTTACAATTTTCTTAAAGGTATTAAGAAATTGTTCTAAATACCAGGATGTATTTTCCATGTTCTTTGGAAGGCACGGAAAACGAGGCTCAGAATCCGGCTGCAGAGAACGATGATGGAGGCTTCAGTGAGGAGTGGGAAGCTCAGAGGGATAGTCACCTGGGGCAGCATCGGTCAACTCCTGAATCCCGGGCTGCCGTCCAGGAAATCCCTAGCAGCATACAGCCGTCCATTGAGGACCCGGAGGAAAGTAAGTGCTCTCCTGACACCTTTACATTATCGACTCCCAGTGTGAGATGAATTGAAAGTGTTGCTGTTTCTAAGTAATTAATAGCTTAGAGTGGGATAAAGCACCGATTGATGCTTTGCTCAAAGTTAAATTCCTTAATGGGTTAAATTCTACTCAGTTTTGTAATTGGCTCTTTGTAAGTCTCCTCTCTTTTTAAGTAGAAAGGGTTTTTTTTTTTTAATTTAGTTTATTATTATTACTTTGATGTTTTTATTCTATTGAGACTATGGCTGCAATATATTTGTGTAAGAGGTCTCATGAGCGCCTCTCATTTCGTGCTGCATGGAGCTCTCTGGATTTACATAGGTCAGCCTCTGATGATGGTTGTGCCCTTGGCTTGCGAGCGCTTTAGCCTCTCAAAGCCAGAAGAAGGGTTAGGGTTTGGGCCTTGATGTCTCTGCTTTGTTGTCGCCTAGTAGATGCAGGGTCACACTTGGGGCTTCCTGGGAGCCGCTTGTTCAGTCTTCATCTCTCACTTAATCTGAGAAGTGTGCTTTATTGGGTAAGAAATTAGCACATTTTCCCGCTAATTTATCCTCCTTTTCCTCACGAAAATGCAACTTCCGATGAAAACATTAGAGAAAGACGATTAAATCATTTTTAATGAAACAAGTGCATAGATTCCTTAGTTCCCGAAACACTAATCATAGCTGTGTGTTCTGACCCTGAATCCCCCGTCAGCCTGAGTAGAGCTCTTCTTACAGCGAACTTGGACTCTCAACTGGGCCTGAACTTTCCCACGGCACTTTCATGATTTGGGTGCTTAGCTGGGTTTTCCAGATGTCCCAGCCAGCTGCACCCTGTGACTTTCATGCTTCTTGGAAGCTAGATGTAATGCCTAGACGTACAATCAGGCTTCACTTGCCTTACTATTCCATATATAACATGCCCATATAAATAGCACATGTGCATATAATGCACACATTACACATAGGGAACTAACCACAAGCAAGAAGGCTTTGTGGAAGCCATATAATGCATGCATCGTTTCATAAATTGGTAATTTGTGGTAGCTGGTATAGTCTGTCCGTAGAGTTGCTGTTAAAGCTAGGTTGCCTCCTCTCCATTCCTCTCCTCTCCTCTCCGAGGTGCCTGCAGCTACAGACAGATGGATGAGCACTGCCGCGCACAGCAGTCTGCTTTTTCCTGCCTGTAGCTCCCTCTCTGCCCATCTCTGTGTCTGCTTCACCTGCAGTTTTGCTCATTTTGTTAAGGAAGGCCCAAGCATTTGCCCTCCTACCTTCAAATCAATACTTTGCTAATTGTATTGAATTGTATTGAACTTTGCTAAATAGAAATGAATATTGACATTCCGTCATTATCTTAGCAGCACCCTTGTGACCATCTGACTGCTTTAAGGTCTTAAACTAGACTTAAGAATAATTACCCAAAAAGTCTCTTTTATACCTAATTTCAAAACAGCCATCCAAGAAGCAACACTTAATTTCTTAACAGCCATCCAAGAAGCAACACTTAACAGTTTCTAAATTAGACATGTAAAACATATTTATTCACAGTGAAGGTAGTTCATCTGCTAACAGACATTAAAATGAGCTTCCACCGGATGGCATGCCGGTCACAGGCTTGTCCTAAGTGGGCTCCTGTAGACTTGGCATTTATCAGAGTCAGAAAATGAGCCACTTGTTTCCAAAGTGGAAAGTTAACTCAGAGAATCTTTGTCTATAACCTCAAGGGACAGAGAAGAAGATCAGTTTTGTGTTCGTTTCAGCAAGTGGAGGAAGGGATTTCAGTAGTACAAAGGAAACATAATAAATTTTAGTCTGTTTTTAATGTTATAATCTATCAAAAAGATACTAGGAAATATTTATCATGGGGTTTTATTATTGTGTGTACATTAGGCACATATGCTGCCAGAAGCCCTTCAGAGAAATCTTGCAGTAAATTGTTGTTATCATTGTTGTCTTTTCTAATCTCCTGGATGGTAGACCACCAAATGCCCCTCTTACTAGTAAACATTACAGTCACTCAAGTTGTTGGTTTTGTTTCTTCGTTTTTTTCAGAACTGGGAAAGGGAAAACGGGACTTCTAGAGGAAAGCACAGGAAAGGCGTTTTCATGCCTTTGGATTTGGCAGAGTCCAAAACAGAGCTCTAGAGGCATGATTCATAAAAGAAAAAACAAATTAGTTGGACTTCATCAAAATACAGACTTTTTGCACTTGAGAAGACACCGCTTAGACAAGGGAAAGCAGCACAGACAGAAACTGTGTGCGAGTCCTAGTAAAGGACTTGTGTGTAGGCCACATGAAGAGCTCGGGGCGCAGCTCACTAGTAAGATGGACAACCAGTTTAAGAATGGGCAAAAGATTTTAATAGACATTTTGCCAAAGAAGAAATACAAGGGAGGAGGCTTTAAAAAGTGTGTAGGAAAATTCCATTTTAATTCAAATTTTCCATGAGCTTTTTGAAGCCCCCTCATATAATAGTAAATCTCAAACCTCACTGCCATGGGGTCAGGTTTGACTCTGAAGGACCCTATAGGACAGGTGTCTTTCTCCCGAAGAGCAGCTAGTGGTTTTGAACTGCTGACCTAGGAGCTAGCAGCCCAATATGTAACCAACCACACCACCAGGGCTCCCATTAATAGCAAATTAGCATGTGAAAATATATTGTTTGTTTTTTATTAATCATTTTATTGGGGGGCTTTTACAAATCTTAGAACGATCTATCCTTCTATTGTATTAAGCACACTTGTACATATGTTGCCATCAGCATTTCCAAAACATTTCTTTCTACTTGAGCCCTTGTTGATCAGCTTCTCTTTTTCCCCCTCCCTCCCACACCCTCCCACCCATATGAATCCTTGATCAATTATATATTATTGTTGTTACTTCGTGTTTTATACTGTCCATTGTCTCTCTTCACCCACATTTCTGTTATTCCTTCCCCTGGTATATGGGCTATATAGCCAACCTTGTGATGGGTTCCCCCTTTCTTTCCCTTCCCCCTTGCTGCCCCACCATCCCCCTACTCTCATGATATTGCTACTCCCACTACTGATCCTGAGGGGTTTATCTGTCCTTGAAAATATTTGCAACTTCAGTAGGAGAATAAGGAGCCACTTCAACCCTGCTGGAGTGGAATGCTTACAATAAGAAACACCGACAAGTCTTACCAAGTGTTGGTTAGGGGGTAAAGAAACTGAACTCTTAGGAATTGCTGGTGAGCCACTTCCCCAGCAAGTCCACTCCTAGGAATCTACACACGGGAAATGAACTCTGTCTACGTGAGTGCTCACAGCCACGTGTTTCCAATAGCCCCACTCTGAAAGAGAGCCTAGTGGAATGGAAAACTAGTCAGCAATAAAATGGAGTAAACTGCAGCTTTGTGGAGTATCACCAGTGAAAGAAGCCAGATGAAAAGAGGTTCCTATTGTACGAGTCCATTAGTATGATGCGCAGAATAGACGCATTTGTAGAGATCGAAAGAGAATAGTGCTTGCCTAAGGCTGGGTGGGGGTTTACAGTAAATAATTCTTATTGGGGTGGTGGAACTGTGATTTTACACAACTCTGTAACAGTGCTGCAGTTGTGAAATTGCATGCTACCAGTGGGAGGACCTTATGAGGTAGACTGTACCCTGGCACTGTAACCGTGTTCAGAAAATGAAGATGCTGCCTAGCCCCTAGGGGATCCCGTGAGACTGTACACTTACAGCATGAGTCCTGGGGATCAAGTTGGCACCCAGTAGGTGGCACTTCACCATGGCTATTACCACTTTTATGCAAGGGTGCCTCACAAAGTAAAATAGTAAGATTCAGTTGTCTTTTCGTTCTCTTTTTCCCTGACGGTTTTGACATCTCTCACGCACCACTCCCCACCCCCTTCTCCGAGCACACATAAAATACCAGCATTTTCTGTTGACTCCCAGGCCCAGCCTCAGCCACACAGACTCCGACATTCACTTGGTGAGAAGAAAGCCTAGCTTTGTGTGCGCTCCTTTAGGACTCCAGTCAGTCTTGGGAAGCGGGAGATCACAGCAAGAGTGACACGCGTGTTTATACGTTCATTCCATCTTTCCTCTGTAGGGGGCGTCAAACTCGGATTGGGAGATTTCATTTTCTACAGCGTTCTGGTTGGTAAAGCCTCGGCAACAGCCAGCGGAGACTGGAACACAACCATAGCCTGTTTCGTAGCCATCTTAATTGTGAGTATGCACAAGTCAGCTGTGCAGCAGTCTGATGACTCTGTCCCAGGAGGCAGGCCTGTGTTAGCCCCAGGCGACTGGAGGGTCCTCATGACCCAGGGAGGGTTTCGCAACTCAGATCTTTGCCCTCCCCTGACTAGCCTCCATGCTGGGCACACACTGCAGTCTCCTGGAACCGATTAAAACCGTGAGCCCCAACCCTGAGATGTTCTTACCTAATTTCTGTTTTCACTGTGTATGGCTTAAAAGTTCCCCAGGATCGCTTCTTAGCCTTTTGGCTAAGATCAAGTGTAAAAGTTCCCCAGGAAATTGGAAGTACCTCTGATTAGGATCTTCTGGAGCAAGTCAAATAGCCTAGAGATGTGTGAACACAGCTCTGCTAGAGATCGGGCTTCAGAGATAGCAGAGCCTCGGGGAGGGTTGTTTTGGGTGTAGTGACACAACCTGTAGCATCCAGCGCATTGCCTGATCCCATAGAGAGCTTGCGTATGATACGCCACAGCATGACCCCAAGGCTTTCAAAATGATTGAAGCTAGTCACTCATGAGTTCGTTTTTAACGCTGTTTTAACTGAAGCTGAGCTTGCCAGTAACACTTGAGTGCTAGCATACAGCGTGTGAGTCAAGGTAGATGTGGGATGGAAGGAGAGCCTTGTAGACATGCTTGTTTTGTGGTTACGTTTGTAGTTTATCATGATACGTAACCAGTTGGAATTTCCATGTATTTTATTGCCTTTTTGAGGTTTTCTGGGTTTGACATTTATTATTGATTCTTGCTTCTTTTCCGAAGAAAATGACTTCCTGATAAACAGGAACAGTGCTAGTCTAGTTGAGGGCTCAGTAGCCAGAGCGGAGCTGCTCGTGAGAGCTGGGGGGAAGCCGCGGTTCTCCATTTGCCCTCTGAGGTGTCCTCATTTCCTAAGCCTCACGTAGCAGAAGTAACAGCCCTTCCTCTGGGCGTGTAGTTAGCCAGGCTTACCTCCACAGAGGCCAGCTACGGCTTCTCAAAGAGGAAGTACTTTCTCATTTTCATTTGTCAAAACAATAGTTTTACTACTTTCAGGGGTGAAATGGCAACAATGTGTCACAAAGGAAAAAGAGTGCTTCCCTTTTATCGGAAAGCTACGTTTGTTTTTAATGGCTGTGCGTCAGGCCTGGTGAAAGCATGAGCCCCAGAACTGGTACAGAAAGGACGGTGCTCTGAATAAGACCACGAGGAGACTGGCGGGCGACTTTGCATCGAGTGACCTGCACGATCCTGTGTCAGTGTGTCTCTCCTTCCCTTCTCCTCCGCAGGGTTTGTGCCTTACGTTGTTACTCCTCGCCATTTTCAAGAAAGCATTGCCGGCTCTTCCCATCTCCATCACCTTCGGGCTCGTTTTCTACTTCGCCACAGATTACCTGGTGCAGCCCTTTATGGACCAGTTAGCATTCCATCAGTTTTATATTTAGCACATTGGCGATTAGAATCTTGTGGATTTTTCTCCGTGGCCGAAAATAAAATCTTGGGAGAAGGACAAAGCAATTTTCCTGTGCCCACATGTAACAAACTCAAGGTTCCCAGGCAGACTTTCGGCATCTTCCTTCCGAGTTTTCTGACCACTTGCCGTGTTGGGCACTGACCGGCATGTGTCTACAAAAAATGGTTTGATCATACTTCACCGGGGTGGACTGAGTCCCTTGGTGCAGAAACTGCCAGGCTCGAGGGACAGACACGAGGACAGTGGCCGGGCCACCGTGTTACTGTGCTTCCGCCAGCAGTCTGCCCTTGGTCACAGTCGCTTTCCCCAACACTATGGCCTCTCAGGACGACCACCTCGAGGGGAATGAAGTGAGGTAACGCTAGCAGACTCTACCTGAAACTGCATCTCGAAAACCAACCTAACTGGGCTGCATTGGACGACCCGGCCTCTGCAGCAGGCCCTGGGGGAGAGCAGGCTCTGGAGCCAAGTGGACAGGTGGAGGGGCGCAGGCTTTCCTTCTCCGTGTGGACTGTGTCCTTGTCGTTTTCGAGTAAGATCTTGTTTTTTTAACCCGTTCCCCTGCGTCACCTCAACTGTGTCGGTTGATTTTGACCACTGAAGCTCTCAATGCTGAGCTGCATGGATTAACCACCCACAGTTGCCATCCCCACCCCCACCCCACTCATTTGAGATCGCTTTATCCTAAAAGACACAACCCAGCTTCCATGTTCAATAACTTCTGGAAGTATCACTCTTAGGTGAATTTTAGATTTCCCACCAAGTTGCTCCATTTTGGACATACTTGTCAGTTCATTTGCCCCAGACACCACCACTGTTCCCTACCGCCCCTTCCCTCTCACCCCCAAGCATGTCTCTTACGTGACAAATAAGACAGCTTTGTTGTAGCAGATAACACGGTCATTCCAGGGCTTTATTTGTGTGATGCAAAGACTGTGCTGACTCCATGGTCAGCCTGGTTGTCATCTCCAGTAGTAAGTGAGATGTGGTGCCCAAAGACAGTGGAATTCAAGAAGAGTAAAATGGTTAGTGAAGAACTTTCTGTCCTGGCTCTTCTTGTTTTGCTGTTTTTCTATAGTCATTGCCTCTGACAATAGGTCAGAGTTAGGACTGATAGCCCACCGTAGGTGGTTTACAAAGCTGCTGACCAGTGTACCCCAGAACAAAGCAAGAGTTTCGAGGAACCATTAGGAGGTGGGGAGAGCCTGGGGCCAGGAGGAGCAGCAGTAGCCAAAGAAGAAAGGAGGCCCCCAGCAAGCCGGAGGACAGACACACTGAGCTAGTGCTCTGTAGGCCGGTGGAAGGAGGAAATCCACGGGATCCTGCAGAGCCTCACAGCGGCTGCTTTGTGGCTGCCCATCTTCACGGCCTTCGCTCATGCAGCCTGTGGGAGCCAGGCACGGAGGTTCCTGCTGAGGTTCCAGCCGGCTCAGCTGGCTCAGGCTCTGTGCTGTGAAGTTGGACAGAGCGCTTTAACAGCCAACAGCTTGCCTGCTGCGATGGAAGGCCTGCTTTTACCACAGAGACCCCTGAACCCTGGTGGTCAGAGTGCACCTGTCTGTGAGAAAGGGTGGCTGACGAAAGATCAGGTTTTCCTCTCCTCCTGCCCCTGAAATGACCCTGCTGGGGGTTCTGCTTGGAGCTTAGAGTATTTGTTTTCTGTCCTGAGCCATTTTCTTAAAACTTTGGGATTTGTGTGCCGGTACTAACTGAAGTAGAAGTAAAAAAATCAGTTGGGAACTGTCTAATTAGGAAAAATAAGTGTAAAAAAAAAAAGTTTAGGGAGGTGGGTGCTAAGTTCTCTAATTTCTTTTTTTAAATTAGTCTCCTTTCTCTGACTCTCGTCTCGCACATGTGGCAGCCTGGGCGCCATCTTCCAGAGCACACAGCAAAGCCACCCGAACCCCAGTTTGAGATCCCTAACAACCTTGCGGGAGCCCTGATCTAGAATGGCTTATTTGGGCAAAGATCCCCAAAGTGTTCTGTTTCTCATCACATGGTTCCTCTGGGAAGATGTGTGGGTTGGTGAGAGGAAGTGTTTGGATCTAAATACGATATGTCCTGTGTAGAATGATCACAGTAACACTGTCACTCAGTGAAGAGGACTTGAAGTACTTTTGGATGAAGATCAAAGACCACAGCCTTCAGCATAGATTTGGCCTCAAGATGAAAGAGCCTCACAACCTGACCAGTAAGCAACATCGTGACAGGTGGAGAAAATATT